CCTTTCCGGGGAGTAACGCGTTCACCACCACACCATGAAATAGCTGAGAGACGTGCGAAACAAAGGACCCGCATGGTGTGGTGGTGAACGCGTTACTCCCCGGAAAGGGTAATAGCGCGTTCGTTCCCCACCATAGACACCTGCGGTCCAGAGTTTTGCAAATATCTCGGCAACATTGTGGTTGTATTTCGCTTAGTAACCTGCCATGAAAATTATAGAAGGCAGAAAACAAAACGTTAAAACATTGTGATTTCAACTACAGCCATAGCTTAACTGGGTTCTATGCCGATTTGCGCTCCCCAGATCAACCCCGCTGACGGGTGATTGCTGTGGCAAAAAAGATCGATAGAAATAGCTGAGAGACGTGCGAAACAAAGGACCCGCATGGTGTGGTGGTGAACGCGTTACTCCCCGGAAAGGATAATAGCGCGTTCGTTCCCCACCATAGACACCTGCGGTCCAGAGTTTTGCAAATATCTCGGCAACATTGTGGTTGTATTTCGCTTAGTAACCTGCCATGAAAATTATAGAAGGCAGAAAACAAAACGTTAAAACATTGTGATTTCAACTACAGCCATAGCTTAACTGGGTTCTATGCCGATTTGCGCTCCCCAGATCAACCCCGCTGACGGGTGATTGCTGTGGCAAAAAAGATCGATAGAAATAGCTGAGAGACGTGCGAAACAAAGGACCCGCATGGTGTGGTGGTGAACGCGTTACTCCCCGGAAAGGGTAATAGCGCGTTCGTTCCCCACCATAGACACCTGCGGTCCAGAGTTTTGCAAATATCTCGGCAACATTGTGGTTGTATTTCGCTTAGTAACCTGCCATGAAAATTATAGAAGGCAGAAAACAAAACGTTAAAACATTGTGATTTCAACTACAGCCATAGCTTAACTGGGTTCTATGCCGATTTGCGCTCCCCAGATCAACCCCGCTGACGGGTGATTGCTGTGGCAAAAAAGATCGATAGAAATAGCTGAGAGACGTGCGAAACAAAGGACCCGCATGGTGTGGTGGTGAACGCGTTACTCCCCGGAAAGGATAATAGCGCGTTCGTTCCCCACCATAGACACCTGCGGTCCAGAGTTTTGCAAATATCTCGGCAACATTGTGGTTGTATTTCGCTTAGTAACCTGCCATGAAAATTATAGAAGGCAGAAAACAAAACGTTAAAACATAATCACCATTCTTTTGAGACTTGCTGATTAAGCCATTGTGATTCCCTGGAATCCCGAGGACAGCCAGGCCAGAGTCTGCCCCAGGTCATCACCACGACAGGCAATCGCAACCCTTGTGGATCAGAAGGAGATTTGCTACCATGCGACTTTGATACCAGAACGGTGGTGGATCCTGGTATTGGTTTACTTTTATCAAGACTTTCTGATGGAAACGTCGGGCTCCCTCTTAGCTTGGGATACCTTGCAGAGTGGACGAATCCCCACGCTGTACATCGCAGTCCGACACCCAGGAACACCTCTCAGCCACGATGAGGCGGTAAACCGTTTGGAGGTTTCAGATCGATAGACTGTAAAAATTCGCTAGTATTGGTGAAAGTTGAAAACGGACCCCTTCTTCAAAAATAGAAAATTTACTGGCGCCCGCCCGACGATCAACGAGACTACAGGTGTTACAGGTGACGAGGATTGCTGATAGCACTGATCAATAGAGCTAGCTGAGAGACAGACGAAACGAAGGACCCGCATGGTGTGGTGGCGTTAGCATCCGAAAGGGTAACGTCGTGTTCGTTTCCCACCACGGACACCTTCGGTCTGGTGTTTTGCAAATATCTCAGCGTCGTTGTGGTTGTATCAGTGATAACATTAGTGTAAGTAGCTGCTATAGGATTATTTGTTAAAATTGGATAGATGATTTAAATCACTGTTCGACAGGTGGGAAATTTGTATTCGAATTGGGCGAGTTAAAATTTCAATCGATAGATGAGTGCAGTATGAGGAATATTTGTAGCGCATCTGATTTAAACCCTATTTTTTTCGATAAGGACTGAAACTTGGAATTAACCATGGTCTTCCTTGGATACATGTTTTTTTTACAGAAATCCACCCTATTTCCATCTTTTCATTCCTATGATTTTTATTATTTTTCAGCTGGCAGCATCCTCATCATTGGATAGATTACCGTGTTGTCATCAATTTCTACTATTACTCTAAGTTATTGAGGTGTGTGTAGCACAGTGGTCAGAGGAGCCCTGCAAAACATATGGGATGGATCCCATCGCCCTGAGTTCACCAAGCCTTCCATCCATCTGTGGTAGGTAAATTGGTACCAGACTTGTCTGGGAGGATAGCAGCCCCGGCTCGATACTACTACTGTAGGCTACCGTATAGGCCAGATATACATTCAATCTCCTCTAACGGTGCTTAGTAAAGTCGAATGCATGTCGCGTCCCACAGGGATTGATGAACGACGACAGCTTTATCGTTTATCCTTTATCCTTTATTCTATGCTTTTGTGGATAACTCGACACCTAATATGTTTAGAATTTAGAAGGAAAATTTTACGAGGAAGTGGTTGTAATCATACGGAAACTAAAGTTGTGGAAAGCTTTCTTCCCAACATTTGAATGTACTAAAATTTTATGAAAATATCGTGTAGTGGTGTGTTGTTGGACAGAAAAGATCAACTACGGAGAACATTTAAGGCCTCGTACAAATTACCATTGCCATCTTTTCACGGTACCGTATGATTCCTGCACAATAAATAAGCTGCAACACTGGAATAAGTGAAAGTATAGAGATTATTCTCTTCCTTATGGGATAATACTATTAATCTCTTCATACTTTCATTTATTTCTTATATTGTTCATTTGTTGTGTAGCATACGCGCAGAACTCGAACATGCGCAGAACTCGAACATGCGCGTGCAGGACCTCCTAAGACCGCCAAAACCTTCTTGCCATTCTCGCTGCACATCATTGAAGGGTTGGTCTTCTTAAGAAATTATTTAGCTCATACGACTTGAATCCGCGCAGAGCCATAGTTGGCATTCATTGCTGATATGCATTGGACCATTTTGTGCTTCTAACAGTTCATATTCAACTTATACACCAAAGCATTGGTCGATACGATCGATTTAGTCGATTCCATCATGCAAGGAAAAAGTTCCATCTGCCAATATATTTAGTCTATTGCATTGCCTGGGTGCGTGTTGCACACTGGTCGGAGGCGCTCTGCAATACACATGAGATCGATCTCCGCACCTCAAGCCCACCAAGCCCTCCATTCGTCTGAGGTCGGAAAACTAGTGCCAGACTTTTATAGCCACTGCTAGTCATTGTAAACGTCAGATATGCTTTCAATCACCTCCGACGATCCTTAATAAAGTCGAATGCAAGGCGCATCCCTAAGTGAATGATCAACGCGGAGAGCTTTATGCTTTGTCCTTTATTACATTACCATTTTATGTTATGCCACTTTCTACATCGTTCCTTTTACGCTACTCCTCTTAGTATTTTTTTCGTGACGGAACTGTATTTACTTGATATGCTACTTTTTCTCATATCACATAATCAGTCTATCGTGGAAACTACACTGCCTCCTTGCCAATGCTAGTCCTTAGCTTTTAAATTATCTCATCATGCTAATTTCGTTAATGCCTTAATTTTCATTGAATACACATATATATACATGCATATATATATATATATATATGTATGCGTGTTGAATTTTTGGATGCGTGTAGCCCGAAGGTTACAGCTAATTTTGAAAGAAAAAGAACACAGGACTTGTCTAGGAGAGTAAAAGCACTGAATTGGTACACTGGTAGATCTCCGCTGGTTACTGTATGGGCCATATACGCATCAGTCACCTCTACGATTTGATGAAGTTGAGATTTTCCCTTGACAATCGATCAACGTTGGACGTTTTGCTCTTTTGTTCTTGTGTGTAGACTAAGGTATCAGCAGAAGTCAAGCGTCATAGGCCACAAGTAGATGATCACAAGCCATTAAATTAAGTGATATACACCGCTTTTACAAACGTAAATATGCCAAATATACACATACCACATCGGTGAGCAGTCAAAATTAACAAGCATCGATTTGTGTGAGTTGAAATTAAATGAGTCCACAAGCTCCACGCCTTTTGACATATAGCGAAATTCGGGGCATGTAAGGAACGAGCCTAAAATAAATAGTCCACACGATCACAACGATGTGAATCATATATGACCCACGTGCAGCATAGAAATTTGGACGGAATGAGTTATATGGTTCACTAGTTACTCTTACTTCTTGTGATAGTTTTTGTGCTAAATGTGCTTGCACTTCGTATTGTAAAGAATTTTTTTTCAAGACTTTTCAGTAGCTTTCCCATTGCAGGTTTTATATAAGTATTAAGAGGAAAACTATCATAACCTGCAATAAAATGTTATCAGGACGAGTTCACTCCTCCAATTAACGCGACGACTTATTTGCCTGTTGGACAGACAGACAATAGCATAGCGACTATTGCTGGTGAGGAATGTACTAAGATGACTTTGCTGTACACACACAACTGGATTAGGTGAGAATCGTTGCTTACCGTACAGATGGAGATGAAACCTGGTAGTGAAGAAAGAAAGAAATGAAAAACCTGCATATGCTGCATCGACATGCAACCAGATGTGCTCTCTATTGCAAATCGGTGCTAATTCGTCCAGTCGGTCCATACCACATGAACTTGTTGTGCCCATAGTGGCTATCAATGTGAATGGAATCAATCCGCGAGCTCGATCTTCCTAAAACTGTTTGTTTGACCAAAGTATCTAAAGCTACTCTTATGATCTGCGTACTTTCCGTATCTTTTTTCTTCATTATTTTTTTTCAACCAGTGTCAGAAAACATATATTTAATAACGTCTTTTGTATGCTAAAGTTACCCGCTGTTTTCGTCAATTGGGTGCTAGGAGACTTCATAAAGAAATGCTATAAGAACGATAATCTTCTATCATTTAACATCTCATGCAACCCAATCCTGGACGAATAGTATCAAACAATTGTCGTTCAGGTATAGCGTTCGTTCCACCTATATGAATTTTCAACATCTCATGTATGGCAGAGTCGCTCATCTTCCACCGTTGAAATAGTTGGGAATACCGAATTCTCTGATAAAGGGAATGTTAGCCGCACTTTCGTGCTTCATAAGTTTCCAGGTATGCGAAGCTTATACTAAAGCAAGATGGAGCATACAAGAAAGATGGACGATGGACAGGCCTAAAGCGGGGTGATTTTGTGTTCTTCAGTAGCTCCTCCAAATAAGCGACGGATGTGAAGGCTTTTCTTGTTGCTTATTACAGTCATGGAGGTAGGTCTTTTAAAGCCCAATACTTTTAATCGGTATCATCAATAATCACCTTCCAAAAGCTAGACAAGTGTTGCGAAGTTCCCAGTAGTAGTGATTTTGAAAAATCGTCCACTGAAATTTGTAGCTTTCTGTTATTTCTGCGAAAGAAAGGAATTTAGCATGAAGCAGTCGTTGATCCATTGAAGACGACGTGAAATTTTCGTCTGTAGATGATCTGGTTGAGCTAGTTATAGCTCCTATGAAATGCTGAGATATTTGCAAAACTCCGGACCACAGGTGTCTGCGTTGGGGAACGAACACGCTATTACCCTTTCCGGAGGCTAACGCGTTCACCACCACACCATGCAGGTCTCTATCGATCGGTGCCATTAGCAATCACCCGTCAACGGGATTGTTCTGGAAGCCCACAACGGCACTGGACCTAGTTTGCTGAGGCTGTAGTTGAAATCGCAATGTTTACTTTTTATTTGCTGCCCACTGTATATTTACTAAATATTGACCTTATCTATTTGCTAGTATTATTTGTGAGTTACCTTTATTGCGGCTTCCAGTGTTTGCTTAGTGACGGTATAGTTTTTTAGTTCGGGATCGATATTGCTTTTTAATTTACGTAGTCTTATACCACATAATATCGCTCCTTTGTCGACCGATGTATGAGCCTAAAGAACTATAGAACGAATTCGAGAAAAACAAAAATTGAATAAACAGATAAAGCTGCTGAACCCTGAAAGATGTGCAATGCATTCGATTCTATTCGTAGCATCGTAGAGGTGGTTGAATGCATATCTAACATATGCAGTGATTTGCTGTGGCATGTCCATGTTTGAAGTCAATGCTGCTATATCCTCCCAGATAAAACTGGTTCAAATTTACCGGCCTTGGAGTGATGCAAAGTTGGATGAGTCCGCGACACAGGTTCAAAGCTGCCATGGAGCCATTGTGGATTTCTGGGCGCCTTTAACCAGTGCGCTATGGGCGCCTCAAAAATTGACACTTGCCAAAAACATTACTATGGAAATTGCGCAATCGGGCGGTTGACTCAAAGGCTGCTACTATCACTTAGATCACCTGTGGTCCCTTTAATCATAAAGTAACGTAAGGTTTGTTATAAAGCTCTTTTCCTACCGTTTTTAGCGAGCGCCTAGCCTCTGGCCTGAGATTCTGGACTAAAACCTAGAACCTCTTCTCAACATGATATACTTTTCTGTGGAACGAAGTCTCAATTGCATGTATTTAATCAACACCCAGGAACACCATCCAGCCAAAATGAAATAGTAAACGATTAAAGGGAAGATTCACACTGATGAATCACAGATGATCGCTTGCTTGTTGTCTGACATCGCCAAACAAAGAACGTGGATGCTGTAGCTGATCGATGTACGATTTATGAGACCGCCGTAATAGTGTACCTGATCCGAACAGTACGCGACAAATTTTTGGAATACAGCCGGATCATGAAAGTGTGGGTAGAGCATATCAGGATCTGCCTGTTCGGCCTGAAAAAATAACTAGCGTGTGGGAGGACCTAAGGTCCATTCAGGTGATGGAATGTTTCGTTTTTGAGACTTTGCATATTCACAAATCAAGTCGTTGTTACAAATTGTGGGCACCAAAAATCATCAACGCAATAAGATTTCATTGAGGAAGCTGTAAAGACAATATCAAACTGTTAGTTATTGTGATAACTACTCATTTTGCATATCCTAGTCTCTTTACGAATAAGTAGTGACCAGTTTTTTTTTACCAAGGTTTCAGTGAATATTACCTCAGAAGTCTTGTCGAGACCCTTGTCGCCCACTGTCCACGAACCGTTCTTAATCTCCTGAATAAATTCATTTCTCTGTTATGTTTATGATTACTAACTAATTTTCTGAATAGACCATTTTCATGAGGAATCATCGAGATCTCAATGTATTTCCAATTTCGCTGGGGTATTGCTGGCTTGGCCAAGAGTTCCCAATCATTGTATCGAGAAACCTGTACCATGTTGCTACCTCTTCAAAACCACTACCAGCTGTTGACTTTAATGGATTAGAAAATGGTTTGCTACCTTACGTTTAGGTTTCCTCAAGGATGTGGACGATTTCTATCACTGGTTTGTTTTTAGCTGGATTTACAGATCGAGATTTCTAATTCTACCACAGCTTGGTCAAGCTTGCTGAGCTGATGAAACCCTCACCGCAGTATATTGCAATTCCATACCGAAGAACATCCCATCGCTACAGTGAGGCGGTAAATCATTGGGATGGTTGTTATTACTAATTATTAGTCATTTCATTGTTGCTCGTATAAAAGCACATCTCCTGCAAACGAATCTGATTGTTACCTCAACAGCTCTAGCCCTTGCCGACATGATCGCGATCATAGTTGCGTCGCTGGCTGTACACTGAATGATGCCGCATCCGTTTCCTGGATGTGAATTCTGAAAAAGTCTATAGTTCAAAATAAGGTCGATTTGTATGTTAAGTAGGAAACCGGTAAAGAAAGTGGAATTGAACCATTTTCAAATAATGTTCACGGTTGTTCCGTAATTGCGTTGTCGGTGTTTACAGCGCTTCTCATAGTATATGCAGGGGCTTCTACGCACTTAGAATCTTAACAACGTTCTTGAAATCAATACTTCGCTGAACGCAAAGATATCCCAATATAGATAAGATAATGGGACATTACTGATGGAATTTGATCGAAACTGCAATGCTATAACAGCAATAGGGATCACCTTAAAATGTTCAGGAAGCGCTAATGCGTCGACTAGCCAGTCAAGTGTTGCCATTTCAAGTTCCGTCATAGCGGGACCAGATTTCTGAAACAAAAGCTTTGAAACCAACTTTCCCTGAACCTCGGTGTCACTAATCAATATGTATTCTTTCTTTGATGAGCTTACACGAGGTTGATAATGATAACAAGCGAGGACCATCGACTCGGATCATCGGCTCTGAGGAAGACGAAGACGTCGAAACGTTAGCCGAAAATAAACATCATTATCAACCTCGTGTAAGCTCATCAAAGAAAGAATACAAAAGCTTTGAATTGCTTTATGTTATAATCCAGATGCCAACTGTACCCAGGAAAATCCGATTCCAGCGATACCGCCACTCAGGATATCGGCTATGATTGCCGGATAACTGCATGCCGTTGGGAAATACGCGAAAAAATGTGGATGGTGCCAATAAGTGTTGCCTTTAAGAAAATAATCTTTGAAACAGTAAGTAGGAATGGAAAAAATGATTTGCGGTTAATAGAAAATTATTACCTAGCAATGAGATTTTTTTTTTGGTTCGACTGCCGTACAACACCCTTAAGCCCTTTTTCCAACACCCTTGCGTATAGAATTTTAAACGAAGGGAAGACGCTAACGAATTCGGCGTTGAAAGAGAAACCGTAGAGTGTTCTCAAAAGTAGTCCTCACTTTCCATAAATCCTTCTCGGTAATTAGTCTCACTGTGGTATTTCTGATTTATGAGAGAGGATGAGAGAGAAGAAAAGAGGAGGAGAGAACGGGAGGAAAAGACAGAAAAAAAATAGAGAGACATTAAATCAACTGTTTGTCTAAGTAGACTATCAGCTTTAGTACTTTTTTCTCATGCTCTTACGTATAATACTTCTAAACGTATAAGAGAAGAAGTTGATGGATTCGGAGACGAAACAGAAATCGTGTGATGATCTCTTCAGTCTCAGCATGGTATTTCTGGTTTGTGAGAGAGCACGAGAGAAGGAAGAGAATAGTGGAAGAGTGGGCGAGAAGAAAAGAAAGTAAGAAAATTAGGGAGACATTAAATTAACTATTTGTCTACATACCCTTCATAACGACTTCTTCCAGGTCGTTAAAAATCGTACTCCAGTCTTCTGGTTCAGGAGGAGCACTGCTAGGTACCTGATGCACAAAAGTTTTCATCAGTGAAGAAATATTTAGTAAATTTAACATTCGTTATAGTAAACATTTTTATCCTATGATGTGCAACCTAGTCTGGTGGTAAAATTTGCCTCATGGAACTAATTTTTAGATGATGACGGCAGTTAATTGTATGCTTCTTCGTGACTAGGGAGCGTTGAAAGCCGTTGAACTGTGATGTACGAAGGTGAGTTCAACCGTCAATACTGCCTTATACCCCAAACTGGGAAAGAGTTCGACATTTTCATCTGGTTATTCAGCTAGGAGTCAAGCAGTGTCCAGAATTCAAAAACATCACTCCGATAGGAACGAAGTCACATAGTCGCAAACTGCATTTTATGACAGCTGGTAGCTCGCAGTGGAAAGAACTTAGAAACACCGTAGCAAGACTACCTCAGGATTCATGTGAAAGGGATAATTAGTTCAGAGAGAAGTCAGCCATAGAACTTCATATGGCAAGTGCTCTCGTCTAATCGTCAGTTGTTCAGAAAAAAGATATAGTAAAATCTCCATTGGTGAGCGAAGTCATGAAAACCGCATTCAGCAACAATGCGGCATTGATACACAGTGGCGAATGTTCCTCACGTTCTATGACAACACATCTTAGACTTCTGATGTCGATATTGGAAAACATGGAGGATGTTTTCCATCTACTTAGGCATGATATAGTCGTGAATTCTTTGTGCTAGTTGTAGATGGTTTTAGTAAACTTATGTCTATTGTCCACCTTTGCATGTGGCTTGCGACCTCTGACACATCGACTACGTAGTGTTCTAAAAGATCTGCTCGTTTTGAGCGGTAAATAGTAGATGCTGCCGCAACAATTTACTGTCTCTCACCAGTGAGTGTTAGTGTCGCCCTTATTAGTAGGCTCGAAACTCTGTTCACAGCCTTTTGGCTCAATGACCCTCTTAGCGCCATCACACCTGCTGATGAGATCTTGACACCAAGCTAGGTGAATGTGTGTGACTGAAATCACTCAGATGTACCAGCATAGAAATGACTTCTAGAGCACGAAATGTTTCTTGATTCTTGAAGAGATCGCATGCTAAAGACACATCACCAGTTTGGACAACGCCAACGAAAACTAAACGAAGACAATGGAAAATGTATTTGAGTCCTTAAGACTTGTGTTATTGTAGCAAAATTTTCAGCTTCACAATCACAATCATTACGTATATTTTTCTTACAATTACTTTCGCTACCCTGTGGAAAAAGTCGACTGAACACTGACGAGCTAGGTGTAGATACTAGACATACGTTCATATAGATAGTGTTTTCATAGCTATCCTTAGTTTCAGCTAGTGCTGACGAGATGTTCTTTTTGCGTGAGCCTTTTTACTTAGGAATCACCAGTGATAACCTAACAAAAATGTACTACTCTGGTTACCTTGTTGTTTACATTTCTTCCCAGCTTTGTATTTTAGATTTCAAAAATGGAAGACAGTTTATTGTCGCGTGGTCGCCTAGAACTGAATTTTATATCTTCGGGCTATTCTTTAAACAATCCAGCAAATCTGAAACTTATTGTACAACTTCATGAGTCTTTGAAATAGCAAAGCAAAGCAAAAAAACAGCGTTATGAGTCGTTGAAAGAAAAAAGCATGTATGACTACCTTCTACACCCTCATACTCCTCTTCTTACTTTTAGCATAGAACGAAAATCTCCGAAGTAGATTCTGTTCCAGAGTCCTCGCTGAATCTACGTCGAGTACAATGAAAGGTTATGAACTTTATTTATCTACCAATTCTATACTATCACTATGTTTCCATGCGTAGTTTTTCCGCTCAGAAAGATTCCTGTGTTGCACTGATGATTTAGGCTATCAAGTCATGAAAGCGGATGACTACGAGGTCAAGTTTTTCTATTTTTCGAACAACTGCTGACGTTGCTGATGCTTTACGTTAGTCGAAGTTTCCGTGGATTTCACTTCTACATGCTTTGAAGGACATTAGCTTCTTGTCTCGAATTCGCGTTCCTCATTTTAACTAAGATGCATAGATAGTTTACCAGCAACCGTCAGGTAATACGAGTATTCATGTCCCTAATCTTTACACTCATGCAGATTCCGAAGAATACAAAAACCACCGAAATAGCCAACATCAAATTCGCATGGAATGATATAAGAAGCTTTACAAGAATTTAGAAGATTTACTTACAACATCTTTAATATATCCTGGTTTGATATTCGGTAATGGTCTTCGCTCTCGGATGTGATCCCAGAAGTCGGCTACATAGTCCACCATTTCCTTGCCATATTTGCGAAACTCGTCCGAGTTCATTCCTAGGATACTCTTCCGACAGCTACGATTTGCAAATGGAAGAACACACCTAGAAACACCACTGAGGTTCCTTACAGATTTCTAAAAATTGTGCATCGTTCAAGAAAACGATAATTGGGTGACACAGCAATGAGGATATGGACGAATAGGACAACTATCACACAATATTGAGGGGATTGCTAACTCGCTGTATTAAGAAACCGACAAATACTGTGCTCCGTACTATTCTTTTTAATGGTGGTTGTATGTCCAGTCGTCATCTCTAACACTTAAAAGAATTGCATCAATCTGGTATTTCAGAAAAATTTCCACTAAGCAGAACAAGCTATCATGGAATTTCGCTGAATGTAAAACTATGTATAATAGACGTTACTGGATCGAATCACATAAGATAAAAAATCTGTATCGAATTCAAAGAAAGAAAGCGTCGCTTCAAGCAATGTAAATGGTAGCAACAGCTCAGTGAATCTTAGCTGCTTTTCTATATTCTTCAAATGAATGTAGATTTCACTACCAAAATAAAATGTCCTGCGGAGGTTGGCCAGTTGTTTAGGTTCCATGAGAACGAATTTTAGCTAGCAATCGCCTGACTCTGATGGTCGATGGGTAGCTAGTTAACAAGGCCTTAGTCGTTTTGACAACAAGAAGTCGAACCTTCCTATTTATACTGCAAGAAACGGTCCATGATTTTTGCAAATTCTTTCTTATGAACGAAAACGGGTTTTTAAAATGTGCAATGTCTCTCTGACAAGGAAGTTGACATAGAAGATTGATTAACTTTAAGGTTTTGCACGAAGAATCTACCGAATTTAAAGCGAATGTCAAATTACCTTAAAGTACTTCATCGTACTTACTGTACTCTCATTTTATCTCAGTTAGGTCCGAGTGACTTAGCATTAAGTGATTTATTAATAAAATTATCACTGTGGCAGAATCTGTTACGTGATATGCACTAGTCAATCGTCATTTCATAGATCTGTAGAGAATTCCGGTAGCAAAGTCGACCTACTTATAGAATAGGAGCAAATTCACAGAAAAATGTCGGATCAATATGTAAAAATGTAGATACGTAGAGATATGTCTTTCACCACACCGGAAGACGTTAATCTTTCAGTGCCGGTAATGGAGCGCGCTCGACTGCCTGTGAAGTAGATAATGGCCGAAGGCGAACTGGTGGATAATCGTAGAACTTGACGATATGGGATAAAATGGTAAACTGCCCGGCGTTGATCAATTTCTTATTTATGCGCTACACATTCGATTCCATTAAGCGTCGTACAGATGATTGAATGCATAGGTGGCCAACACAATGACTTTCGGGAGCTTATCGTTGTGTCACATCAGTGTTTTTTATCCACCAGACAAGTCTGCTGCAAATTTGCCGACTACAGAGGTATAGGAAGCTTTACTAGCACGAGATGACGGATTGAACTAAGGATCCTTTATATCTTGCAGAGCATCTCTGAGCACTGCGCTTCATGAGGCTTCTTGCTATGCATCGTTTTCCAAGAAATTACGGGCAGTCATAGCTCACTCACTAAGCAGTCAAAAATTTCGTCATTAACCCAGATATTAACAGTTGGAAAACTGGAAAAAAGAGAACCAAAGGGTTCTGTCTTCCTGTATTATTACGTATTTCACTTCTATAGATTTTTACGTATGAGAATCATTTGTTCTGTCTTAAAGAAAAATTAATAAGAGAAGAGCGCTTCAGGAAAACTTCTACTTCTTTGTTTTTCTTCCTAATGAGCAACACTTTTTCATTGAAATTCTGAGGTAGCCACACTTTAAGAACGTGCCCATGTCACCGTAACTGCCACGCTAAGTGTGCGACCTCAAGGAGTGCTGCTATGATTCCAGTTTCCTCAACGATGATGGTTCCTAAACTTTGATGCAACTGGACCAACTTTCATATCGGACTAATATTTGTTTCATTGTTGTAAAAGTTCTTTCTGCAACCCGACGTCACATATTGCACCGATAACAGAACTTCCCTCATTCGGGTCATTGTCTTCCGTCTTCTCTCTTGTATCCGTCATCCATGAACATTTACCGATTAGTGGGCATGTTCGCTTGGTGCCACGGGATTTTTCGATTTTATAAATGTTGCTGATTGCTGGTCCATCCACCCTAAAACACTGGAATAGCTCTGCTAGAGAATTTACAAGTGTTTACCGTAAGCATTCACCATCCTTGGTGAACAAGGTAAAGCACTTTACAAATAAGTCTACTACCGAGTTCCCAACCTGCAGGAGAACAGGCCTGCTGCTCGCTTGGACTGGACTGGATCTTTAAAATACCAGCGATCGTAAGTGTATTCCAAGGCATTTCTAGTCACCATGCTTTCCATGGGCTTTTTCCTTACGAAGTTTGTATGAACCGTAATATCTTCGTAGTGTAAAGAACCGCTAAAGTCACGAAGAAGGAAAAAATGAGATAGCAACAAAGATTAAGGAAACCATGAGGAAATGTAGCATTATACAACGCCACTTACGTCAATGGGTGGAGGGAGTTCGCTCTAAGGATGCTCTTGTATCAGCTTCCAATAAATAATTTAACAGTGCAAGCCGTTTTCCAAGTGTCGCCAGTGGGTTCTCAAATTTTTGGTTCTAGATGTAGAAATATTACTGTCGTCATTATTACTAACACTATTATAACTGTCATAGTAAACATCCTAAACATATAAACAGTCATCCTAAACAGGATTGACAGAACACTGGTCTAAGGACAGCCATGTGAGCAAGCAGGGTTTCGAAAAGGATTTAGTACGATGGACCACATCAACACGATAACAAGACTCATCGAAGTATCCCGTGAGTACAAAAGACCTCTCTGTCTCACTTTCATCGATTTACAGAAAGCCTTTAACTCAACTGAGAGAGGAGTCATAGAAGCCCATGATAATCAAGAGGTCCTTACTCACTGTATCACCATTCTACAACAATATTAACAATGACGTTAAAAAAAGGGTTAGGCAAGGCGATACCATCTCGCCAAAATTATTTACCGCCACCCTCCAGAACGTCATGCAAAGATTGGAATAGGATAATATGGGAGTGAAAATCAATGGTCGGCAGTTACATCATCCTCGCTTTGCTGATGTCTCGTCCTTATAACACCAAACATTAACCAAGCAGAACGTATGCTTGACGACTTTGATAAAGCCTGTGGAAAGATTTGTCTTCGACTAAATCTCACAAAAACGATGTCCGTGAGGAACGGATTGGTTTCGTACACCCCATTCATGCTAAATGGAACGAATATCTTCGAATGCTCCAGTTATATCTCACTAGGTCGGGAAATAACGACTTAGCTCCAGACCTGAGCAAAACGAAACGACCGGCTTCGGGAGCTTTCAAGAGCGTAATGGAAGTAGTGAGGAGAGCAAAGAACACCCAACTCCGTGCGAACCTTTTCGACTCAACGGTACTTCCTGTCCTAACGTATGCGTCAGAAACCTGGTCGCTGCGTAAACAGTATGAAAAATCACTCAGCGTTATTGAACGCGCAGTCGAAAGGACGATGCTAGGAGCATCCCATATCACGCACGTAAGGGAAGGGATCCGAGGTCCGACCTGCATCAACGATCAAAAATCAAAGATGCCGTTCTAAGCGCCAAACAGTCGATGATAAGGTGGGCCGGACACGCAATGTGTATGAATGACAACCGATGGACAAGAGCCATTAGCGACTGGATTCCACGGGATGTTAAGCGCACTGCAGGAAGACCACCGGCTCGATAGTCAGAGTTCTTCACGAAAAGCCTAGAAAAAAGGTATGCTGCTTGAGGAGTTCCTAGAGCGAACGAAACCCACTGGGATACTGTGTTGAACGCGACATGGAAAAATGGAAGATTTACTGGCGCTCGCTCGAATCACTCGACGATCAACGCGACTACAGGTGTACAGGTGGTTATGACTAGCCCTATTATTACTTTTCTACTTGTGTTTTATAAAGTATTATTTTATCATTATTACTTACTACCATTATTTTGATAATTGGTACAGAACTTGTCTGGAAAAAAATCACTCTCAGCAATTCAATTGGGAACGCTCCAGGCCGGCTACCCCAGGACTCCAGGAGGAATTGCTCAACCAGCAGCCTTACTTACTTACTTGATACTTGAACGGCCCGTCCTCACTAGTTGTGCGGTCCCTAGCATAATCACCATTTTTCTGAGATTTGCTGATTAAGCCATTGTGGTTTCCTGGAATCCCGAGGATAGCCAGGCCAGAGTCTGCCCCAGGTCGTCACCACGACAGGCAATCGCAACCCTTGTGGATCAGAAGGAGATTTGCTACCATGCGACTTTGATACCAGAACGGTGGTGGATTCTAGTATTGGTTTACTCTTATCAAGGATTTCGGATGGAAACGTCGGGCTCCCTCTTAGCTTGGGATACCTTGCCGGGTGGACGAATCCCCACGCTGTACATCGCAGTCCGACACCCAGGAACACCTCCCAGCTACGATGAGGCGGTAAACCGTTTGGAGGTTTCAGATCGATAGACTGTAAAAATTCGCTACTATTGGTGAAAGTTGAAAACGGACCCCTTCCTCAGGATCTTCGGTCCATAAACTAATTATTGTGAATTATAGACGCTTTTTAGAAAAATGGAATATGCTAGCCTTTCGTATTTTTTACGCTCCTGCTTTCTTTGTTTGTTAGCACTTAAAGACTTAGTCGTTTCACCTCCACTAAGTTTTCCACCTTTTTTTGAAAGGAAATGTTTTCCTACTTTGATATTTGTATTTTAAGGTGACTAGAGGTTTGATATGGTTACTGGTAGCTTTATAATAACTACTGCTCTCTACTGATATCAATCACCCGTCAACGGGATTGATCTTATGAGCACAAATCGGCGCTGAACCCAGTTAAGCTTAAGCTGTGGTATAGATGAATAAATAAAACGGCTGACAGGAAAGCGGAACGGAACGAAGGATTTGCATGGTTTGATGGTGAACGCGTTAGTCCCCAGAGAGGGTAATTGCGTGTTCGGT